ATTGCACAGCCTGTCGTGCAACTCGGACGTGGTTGTGGTATTTCGGGAGTGGATGTTGGCAGTGATCACGTCAATCACGAAGCGCGACGAGGTCATCGCGGAGCTGCTGACCCATAAGCCCACATGCCTCAGCGGCTAGAACCTGCCGCAATGTCCGGAGCTCATCATGCAGGGTCTTGACGGCAGCAGCGCCCGCCCATGACGATCACGAAATGCGCCTCCACGGCGAGGAGGTGGTCGTGGGGCGTCTAGATGGCAGCGGAGTCGACGCCTCGGCGTTGGCCCGCGCGGTCGACTTGATATCGGACCTGATTTAGGACCGATTGATCCTCGGCGATCCGAGCGCCGACCAGGGCAAGAGCAAAAGTTTCAACCCCGCCTCTGAGCTCCGCCAAATCACTGGCGGAAGGCGACGCCTGTGGCGCGATGTCGCGCAGCAGGGAATTCTGCCGCGAGCGTCTCTGAGGGGCTGCGGCAATTGCCCCTATTTTGACACTGGAGGCGATGCCGTTCGGGGGCTCTTCGCTGCGAGGTCAGTCTAGCGCGACCCCCAATGGCTCGCGCGCGTTCAGACACGGGGGCCGACGCGGGGCTCATGGGGCGTCTGGCGCACCATCGGCGACGTCGCGCGAAAGCGCTCGGAGGGAACACTTCGTTCGCGCGACCGCGGGGGCCCCCGCCAGCGAGGAGACTGGAAGAGGAAGGCGCAGGCGCTTCCACCGACGAGTGGTTAGAAACGGCGTCGGCTCCTGGCGGCCCCAACCCTGGGGCGCGCGATTGCGCCGGCTCGGAAGACTGGAGAGAGTCCATGTCTGTCTGCTGTGCACGCCGAAGCGCTGCTTCGAGGCGGGCATCGGCGCTGCCTTCCCCCGGCAAAGAGGGGTTGCGGCATCGCCCCCTGCCCCGCCGCCCCCCCCGCGCCGCCGCGAAGCCCGCGCGCCGTCGAAGAGCCGCCGCGCATAGAGGCCCTGGCCTCCGCGGGGCCCAGCGCCGCGCGCAGGGCTCAAAGGCGGCGCGGGGCGTCGCAGCGGAGAGCGCAACATAATAGGCTGATAACGCGCGAACGGACTTGACAACCAATGAGTCGAACCTACCGCGCGATCCGCTAGCAGAGGGCGACGTGAAAAAAATGTGAGATCGAGGACACTACTCGCCTGCACAGCGCCCGCGAACATCATGTCAGCGGCATCTCTGCGGTAAAAGAGGCACGGCCAACCCGCCTCTTGGCCCGGGTGTGGCCGCAGGAGGAGTCGGGCGAAGCATCCCGAATGAATTGGGCTGTTCCATCTGAGTAGACAACCTCTGTCATCAGCTCGCTGGTCAAATCGCCTGCATAAAGTGAGCCAGCCAAGTCGACGAGAGTAAGAAGCCTGTCCCGGGGCTCGCGATGCACTCGGACACGTGCCCCGCGACCGCCGAATATCTTCTGCCCGCGAATCCTTCTGATGCCCCTCCTCCGCGATCGCCTTGAAACCGCACCCGTCCATGATGTTTCTGCGCATCTCGCGCTCCGCCGCGTGCGTTGCCTGGCGCATGAGCCCATTGTGCGTCGCTGGTTCGCCTGACTCGCGAGTCTTCGCGCGCCGCTCGCAGCGCTGGAAGTCCCCCTCGAAGACCCGCGTGCTGGCGCTCCCGAACGTCGCCCGTTCCCGGTGGCAAGGCGCGCCCGCGCTGCTGAAGCCCTCAACAGGGGGCCTCGCCCAGCGCATCTGGCAACCGGAGGGTCTCGATGTTGCCCCGGTGGCGCACGGCCTTCTCGGGGCGCGCGCGCGGCCTGATCGGTCATCTCGGCGCCCGCGCCGTCGCGCTCCAGCCCCTCGCCCGACGTGAACTGGTCCAAATGGAGATCTTTGGGACTCGAGAGTAAGGTCTCGGACGGCGGGTCTGAGGCATGGATGGCGCGGCCTCGCTGTCCAGACCCCTGGCGCGCCCGAGCAGGTTCCCGCGGGCGTTCGCACCGACGCGCGCCTCCGCGCGGCGCTTCATGGCCACGCGGTCCAAGAGAAATAATAGCTTCAAACGCCGTGCTTTCCATGTCCACGTCCGCTTCCATGGGCTCATCAGGGGCTGGCTGGACCTGCCGGCGCAGGGAGGCTCTGGCTGCGGCCCCTTCTCGGCGAGGGCGCGCCCCGCTCGATTCGACGTCGCGCGAGATGTCGGGAGTGGCGGCAAACGGCTAAGAACGACTGGCCCGGGCTGAGGGCGCCTGCGAATTCACGTAAAACGCGCGGCATCCTCAGGCTCGGTGACCTGGCAGCACCCCTGTCATCGGATATACTTTTCTGATGTTCTCCCTCTGCTAACAATCGACGGGGCAAACAGAGATATCGATCGCAATGTGTCTGCCTGCCCCTACCTCGCGCGCCCTCGATTGACTGCTGTCGAGCACCTCCCAAGTCACGGCGGCACCTGACATGGCATGAACCACTCCGAGCTGTCCGATCATCTCCACTGAAAGAAATTTTGCACATCGCAGGCGATCAGATGCACCGCGAGGGCGCAGCAGTTCTTCGCCACGGCGACGGGCGAGGTCCAGTCGGAGAGAAACTTGGTCGATCCTCCGACGGCCATGGAGCCCATTCCAAGTGTAGGTGTCTGCGCTGACTTCAACCCATGGGCATCTCCAGGATGTCACCACTTTCTCATGCTGGCCCGCGCGACAGACTCCACGCTGAGTTTTAGCACCCACTAAATACGAGAACCATCTGGACCTGCAGTCAAATCAAGGACTGCTCGCCAGTGTCAGCAGTAGCAAGGATGGAACAAGAAAAAGAACTGCCCCCAGACTGGGTCGCAAGCCCCCGCGGGCAAACGTCGCGCAGAGCGTCATCTGCTTCGAGAGGGACAGCATAAAAACCTGCTCACCGCCTGCTTGCCGCCCGCGCCCTCGCTCGTCTGGCTCGTTCGCACGGCCCCGAGCCCGGCGTTCCATCTCCCCGCGTCGGGCGCACTTCGAACGACTCCTCAGTTTACTTTTCGCCCAGCGCTTCGGTCGAGCATGTCCGGCGCGTTTCCCTCGGCGCCCCCCCTCGCGGGAGCCTGTGGACTTGTCTTTCTGGAAGAGACTGTTTAAACGAGCCTCGTCCGAGCTTCCGCTTATGCAAATCATGTCGCACCTGACTGTCGTTGGCGTAGACGGCGACGGCCTCGTCGCCATCCAGAATCGCATCCTCGGGCATGTCTCAACCTACGAAAAATTCGACGCCGTCGCCCATGTACCTGAGAACCTCAGTCAGGACGCCGTCTTCCTCGTAGGACTCGGGCAAGGCGAACGAATACAATTCCATGGTGGCCCAACGAAAGTCATCGCGGCCAGACCCTTGGTCATCATATCCGTCGTCTCCTTGGCATCCGACGAAGTGCTTGGCGGAACTCGTTCCACGAACGCGAGAACACGATGAGAGGCTCTACCTGAGGGCAGCGGTCGTTCGAGCTTCCGAATCTTCTCGCGCACCATGTCAAAATCATGTGATCCCTAAGTCCACTGTTCAACTGTATCCCGAGCGGCTTCACTGAGCTTGGATTCTCTGAGAAGCATGTGTCCTTTTCAACACCTCCGAAAAAGGATCACATTCTTATCGGGCTATCCGAAGAACACGCGCTTGTGAGTACGAACGTTGCTCAAGGATTCGTCCCGTTTACGTTTGGCGTCGTCAGAGTAGACGAGCTTGTCATAAGCCTTCGGCATCCTGCAATCCTGGTTTTCGGCGGAAGCCTTTTTAACACGTTTGACCACAACCTGCCCGCTGTCCTCGAGGCGCGGCTGGTCATCGGTGGGCCCGTTCATAATAATATCGAGGTCGTCTCTGGCGTAGAGGTAAATAAAATATACATGTTCTCTTCAGGGTTCTCGTAGTCGTGCGCCGCACCTGTAGCTCCTTCGAGTAAGGCTCTAAACGGAAATAAAAACCTTTTTCCACCCCAGGTGGGCGGTAGGTCGTTTGATATATTTGGGGCCTCCGATTGTTCAGGAAATTGCCCCCTTCTGGCGATCAGAAGATCCGGCAATGGAATTTCCCCGATACTTCGGAGTGAAAGGAGTTGCCTGTCCCCGCAACGGCGTGTTCAACCGAGCTGGTGCAGCGGGCGAACCACGGCCCAGCGCGTTCCAACTTTATGAGGAAGAGTGCGTATTGGGCCGTGTCTCCGTCCAGGGCTGTGTGAACAAGCGGGCCCACTCTTGATCCGACCAACCCACTTCGTCATCACCGTCCAGGGGGACGTTTTCTCGTCCTCCGCTTCCTGCCCAGAGATCCAGTCCTGGCTGCAACCCAAAATCATAGGGAAATTCTTTTTCGACAAGCTGAACGTCTGGGCGGTCCATGGCGGCGTTCGGCGCAACAGGGTGAAGAACGGGAAAAACAAGATAATACTATAGAATATGCCACCCGAGTCGCGTGACAGGAAATGTCGGCCTGACTCCCCCCGTGGATCGGAACCACGGGTTCCGCTGCCACCGTGGACTGCTCGGGAGTAACTGCATGGAATACACAGAGACACAAAGTACAACTACGGCGACCCGTGCTACAGGAGAGCACCGCCTTTTTCTTTTTACGAGGGCCAGGGCGCGCCTATCGCCTGCGCGCCAGGTGACCCAAGGGCCCTTGTGAGCCACAACGGCGGCACACGAGGAAGGTGGGATGGAAGCGAAGGAGGAGGAGAGGCTGACAAATGCATGACAAGCGCACGCTGGGATTAAGACAAGCGATATCTCGGAGGCCCGGACAGGATCGGTCTTGGGCGTGTCTGACTGATCAGCAAAAGGCTCAGACACCATTGCAAAGAACCCTGGGCGGCTCGCGCTAACATGATGCTGGCAGTTGTCTCGGTGACGATGATGAGGATGATGATGATGCTGATGATGATGATGGTGATGATGCTGATGATGATCATGATGATGATGATGATGATGATGATGATGATGATGATGATGATGATGATGATGATGATGATGGTGATGGTGATGGCGATGATGAGAATGCTGATGGTGATGAGTACAGTGATGATGGTGATGATGATGAGGACCGGCTCGGGCCTCTGGAGTACAGCAAGTGGCGCCGCACTCTGAGAGGCTGGAGCTCGCAACGGGCAAGCGTCACATGCCAATGCCTAACCGCGCAGCCGCGCGCAACGCCGACGGGCTCCCGCAAGTGGGCCCCAAACGAGCCCGAGCCGCGTCCGCTGCTCCCGTCCAACGCCACCTTTCCTCCTCATCCACATCCGCCGTCGTCTGTTCCCACGCAACCTGCGCGGCCCATCGGCGGCTGCAGCCGGGGCGGAATGCATCCAGGGGATCCGATCGCCCATGTCTCCGAAGCCGCCGATCTGACCGGCTGGGCGCACCGCGGATCGAAACTCGACACGTCCTCCCCTGGGAACGACGTGCTGCTCGGCGGTGGCCAGCAAGGGGGAGGGGATACGCAGACTGGTCTGGTCAGACTGCGTTGCCGTCTTCTGCCCTGGTTGTTGCTGCTTTTGTGTATTTCTCTTGCTTTTCCTGATCATCATGCTGCTGCTGCTGTTCCTTCGCCCTTTCCTCGCCCTCCCCATCGAGGATCTCCAACTCTGGCGTTCAGTGATGCGTATGCGTATCATGCTTTCAGCGTCTGCACGAGGGCAGAGACAGCCCGTAGATCTACTCATGGGGACTGGTGTTGGTCGAGAGTAACTCAATGTGTGCCTACACTGGCTTGGTATGTTTAGAATGCTTCTGGAGCTGGACATTCCACATGCTGTGCGACCCACTTCAATTTCACATGCCTTGTTTTTGCTGACGCCTTGCAGCACTGGATCGCATCAAAGGAGTTCATTCAAACCTCTACGTTTCCGCACCTGTGCACTAGCGACAGGGATCATCTCACCGAGCCCCCCCTGGGTCCGCGGGTTGAGGAGGCTGTCGAATCGTCGATCTTCCACGTTGCGTCAGCTGCCACGTGCAATGCGTTACGTGCGTCGCAGATCCCACCAGTCCTCTGGGCAGAGGTGGTTTAACGAGATGTTTCTCTTTGCCAGAGTTCCCTCCTTCCCCTGCTCGGGGGAGAGGTTCACCCCTCCCCTGACCCCCCCTGGGCCCAGAAGGGGCGATTCAAGTGCTCTTCGAGCCCTGCGGGGACCTCACAACACCAACAATATATCTCAACACCCTAAGATATATCAGTGTGTGTGTGTGTGTTGCGCTCTCGCCTGCTCGTTTCCGATTGGCTGTTGAAGCCTCTACATGGCCCCAAAATGACCCAAGACAACCCCAAGAGGAGCCCATGAGTGCGCCGTTTGGGCGCGGCGCACATTTTCCACATGCAACTTCGCCGACGCACGCGGAGGAAGATGTCGTTCTCTCCTCGGCGCCGCGCAGATGTCGCCTGAAAGTGGCGCTCCCGCCCCGGCGCGGCGCATAGATTTCATTCGCCAATTGTTTGGGGTCCGTGCGGGTGGGCGACTTGCCGCCCGTGCCCAGGCTCCGTGCGCATTTCGCTCAGAAGTTGCGTTCCCGCGCGGGCGCGGCGCATTGCTCGTTCGCGGAATCGCATGACAGCAACAGCGGCAACGGGACCGCGCGAGAGCGGGCGCAATGCGGACCTCGCAGAAGCGCCGCGCAGTTTGCGAGTGAAAGTGGCAGTGCTGTGTCAGCGCGGCGCATGTTTCGTCTTCGACGCGCCCATCGGAAACTGCGCCGCACCGTCGTCAGGTCACAAAGTTGTACATTGTGCAGCTCGTAATTTCCCTTCGCAAAGTTATCGGAAGCGGGGCCACACGCGAGCGCCTTCGAGGTGGGAACGCGTTCAAATTCCAATATCAATGTGTGCCACAATTGACTCCCATATTCTAGAAGGGAGGGTGGATATGAGCGGGGCTTCCTCTGACTCGCTCAACCTGACTCACTTGATTTAGCACCCGACTCATCCCAGCCTCTGTTCATCCTCGTCCTCCCTTCCCCCGCACCCCGTGCCCCCTCTCTGTTTCCATGCCCGCCGACCAGGAGTGTACACCCAAAGCCCATTCGCTGATACTGGTGCGGCATGCGTGTCACTGTCCATCGTGTAGTCAGATCAGCCTGAACGAAGAATGCTGCTCACGTGCGCCGACCCTGGCTGGGCTCCTCCTGAACGGCGCGAGCGCCCTGATGGTCTGCCCAGGGAGGTACATTCACCGAACCTGGGCCCCAAATGGGACCGCCCAGGATCGGTGCACGCTGTGGAACGGGGGAAGGGGGGCCAGCAAGCCGAACCACCCAGAATCCGCGGGATTTATACTGTGACGACGAAAAATCCCCCAAGAGGCGGTTGCCATTGCGCTATTCACGTCACTATCCGAGCCAGGATCGGTGCACGTGCCGCAAGTCTCCTCCCCCGATCAGTTAAAAGGCCTGCGCGCCTCGCGGGTCGAAACTGTGCCCGCGCGTACGATCGCGGAGCGAGGTGCACCCGAGGGGCTATGGGCAGGAGGTGTCCTCGCGGCCCCTGCGGCTGGAGCGGTGCGCTCAGCGCGGGGAGGGCCGAAACG